GAAGATCTAAACATATCCAATGATGAATGTTGACAACTTGTTAATGTTGTTAAAATAATATCAGCTTCTTTCATAATATTTGTACGTATTTCCATTCGTTTATTTTTATTAATATCATTTAAACGAGAATTGATTCGTGTATCAAGTTCATATGGGATCATATCTGGATGAATTCTTGATGATTGTCCAATTCGAACTATTTCAAGTGAACGATCACGAAGAAATGTTTCTTTTTCAGCTATTAATCGTAGACCAATTTCATCGATAGCACCATTACTTGGTGCACAAATTAGTATATGAAAATGATCCGAAGCATACATTGATGAATTAGCGATAATATTTTTAATCATACCGATTAATGTATGAGTTTTACCAGTACCAGGTGGACCTTGTACCATAAGAATTTGAAATTTTTTTCGATCCGATTGATTGACAATATTGGATGCAGCAATAATTGCTTCTTTTTGTTTAATATTATATGGTTTTTGGCTATGAAAATTTAATCGTTGCTCATACATTTGATTGGGTAATGAACAGGCAAAAATATTAGAATCTAATTTAACAAGCGAATTTAATGATTCATATCGATTCAATTCTAAATAGCCAAGTGTTTCAATCAATCGAATTGAAGGCCGTAGATAAAATAATCGTTTGATACGATATTTTTGATTTGAAACATATAATGATAATGGTTGTAGTAATTTTTGATAAGAAGATTTAGTCATAATCATTGAGAAAAATAATTTTCTAACATTTTGACTATTTCTTTCATTGTTGGTTATTGTTGTAAAAAAATCTGTAATATAACCAATTTGTGTTTCATCTGTTCGATTACTTTCATTAATAGTAACCAAAGAATTATTAAATTGTAATCTTTTTTCAAATATTTCCTTGGCCATTAAACTACAATCAAATATTATATGAACTAATTGTGAATTCGTCAATACGAATGTTGTTGTTGTACGTAAATTCATGTCAAGAAATTGTTTATCGGTTGTTGTTGATTGTTCACCACCGGTGGTTGATGATTGTTCATCGGAAACAATTTCTTTTTCAATTTGTGCCATAGTATTGATAATAATCATTGCTACATTAGCTTGTTTATATTGTTCAAGTAAATCATAACGTAATTTCATTACCGATTCTAAACAAGGTATCAATTGTTGATAAGTTTTTTCGATACAACGAAAACAAAATTCTTCACTTGTTTCATTATTTTGAATTGTTTTGTTAATGAAAACTGTCCAATCAATTGAAAGAATTGATAATAAAAAAATATTCGTATCATTACCAAATTCTTCGTTTTTTTGATTAAATTTTGATAAAAATGATGCTGATTTCTCTTTAAGATTTCGAGTTTTTAACAAATTAAATTCATCTTTCAAAGATTGTGATATTTGCATTGGTTGACAGCTAATATGAGGCCATTCTGTTGATGTCGGAATGATGATGGGATCATAATCAATTTTTTTTTTTTTTTTTGGTTAGAAAAAAGAAAGAAATTACAAACAAAATCCTCAAAATTTTCTTGATTGATAATTACCAGAATCTTCCGAATAATTGGAATGTTCAGAATAATCAGGATTTTCATACGATGGTGTTGGATAATTACGAACATCATTATAATCATCATAATTACCTGTTGATCATATTTTTGATTGAATTGTCATTAATGATGATTTTGATTTTTTTTTTTATAAAAAAACAAAAGAAATTTTTCAATCATAAATTCAAATTCAATATAATCAACTTACGATAATCATAATCAAGTAAATCATCATTATAATGATCTCTATTTGTTATAGAGTTAGACTGCGGTCTCATTACGACAGATTCAAGAAGTGATCGATTTTCAATATTTTCAGAATAATTAGAATTTGCATTTGATATTATTGCAGGACCATAATCAAATGAAAAATCATCATTATAATAATCTCTATTTGTTATAGAGTTACTGTAAGATTGATTTTGTGCGTTGTAAAATGATTTCTGCAAAACAAAATCAAAATCAAAATAGATAAAACATTGAAAATAACATTATTATACCCAACATAACCATAAAGCAGCACCGACGGTAATGATTTCCAAAAACATTATGATTAAAAATATCTTTTGTCTTTTGTTTAATTAATCAATATATTTTATAAAACTAAAAAATCGGAAAAAAATGATCTAATGAATCAAGTATGATGAAATCACATTCGCTAACACTGAATTGATATATTACACCCAATTTTTTAAAAAGAACACTGTATTTATGAACAGTGTTTTTTTTGCAATATCGAATCATCATCTTTCGAATCAACAACCACAAGAGCTAGCAGTCACTTATTTCCAAGCAAAAAATATATGGACATTGATATCGATCAACATTGCGATTGGATTTTTTTTCAAATCTGTTTCAACAGAATTTTTGCTTCGGCAAGAAAGAAAAAAAAAATAGCTGAATCGACAAGTATACATTGAAGATTAATTTAAAAAAATTAATCAATCTTAAAAAAGCTGAATCAATTTGATAAGAATTGTTTCATTGGTTTTGCTATCATCCAAATTGAATTCCTTTTGAAAATGTCCATAAACTTATTGCCAAACAAAACAAAAAACAAAATATTAGATCCATCCATCCATCGCAACACAGTGATACCTTCATTTGGTGTGGCACGTTGTTATGATGTGATGTGTGTATGATGTGATGATAGTTTTATCCAAAAAAAACAAATTGAAAAGATATAGGCAGAGAAACCGACGACAATCGAGAGAAGAAGAAAAAAACAGAAAAAAAGAGATCTGCACAC